ATAATAATAATAATAATAATAATAATAATAATAATAATAATAATAATAATAATAATAATAATAATAATAATAATAATAATAATAATAATATTTCTCATTTAAAACGATGATTATTTATTTAATAGAAATATATATATATTATTCTACGAATTATTAAATTACTATAAATATTTGATTTTGTGCGAAGCAACGCTTTTTATTTTCGAAACTATGAAAAAGAAAAAAAAAACCTTTAACACGTTCGTCGCCCAGCCCGTTTTTGGTTGAGTTTCTCGCCAGGCCCAAAATTTGACTGTCAACGCGCCGTAATGTAAAGAAGCGATAAGTAGAAATATCAAGAATGCGACCCGAGTATTAAGGTTATATTATATTATATTATATTTTATTTACCGAAAATAATCTTAATTAATATATAAATTACGTGTCACGTTGTTTGTTCGCAATGGACTCCTAAACTACTGAACCGATTTTAATCAAATTTTCCACACTGTATGCAGTTTCATCCAACTTGAAAGATAGAATAGTTTATATCATTCTAACAGATGGCGGTATAAGGTAATTCGTTGACTTAAAGACGTGTGTAGCAACGCGTGGCGGGGCACCCTTAGTAAAATATAAAACTATCTTTTATTTATCGAAAATAATTTTCTTTCGAAATGTGATAAGTATACAATGACGGGGCCCGCGGGGAAGCATGCCCGTTTCCGGTATACAGTGCCATGGCGACGAACGTGTTACAAAATTTCTAATTCATTCCAACTAAATAAACAAATATTTATTTCTTCAACGTTAAATTTTATAATAACACGCGATGGGATTTGGTTATTCTAAGCTCATTAAAATAATTTCAAGATCTTGCAATATTCATTTGACTTACAACACTTGTAATAGATTCTTTCTAATATCATAAACATCATAAACAATTTATTTATTATCTAAATTTTTTATCTCCCTAAGATAAATTAATTAATTAAACATCAAAAGTTGTCTCAAAGTTGTCAACAAAGTCGCGAGATTCTTTTTTTTTTTTTTTTTCTTCGAGCATGATTAATAATTTACATCACAGAGGTTTTTATATATAATATTCAATAGACTATAGTAATCATCTAAAAGGAGTAATATTATATTTAACATTAAATTACGAGCCGCTTATGTGACTACGCTGAAAACCCTGATGATAATGATGATTTAATAGTTTTATTATTTTATATCAATTTTCTATCTTTTGTTACTAATATATTATAAGAAGATAAAAGCTTTTTAAACTGTTAAATATATTCTCTCGTACTAACATTCAATAAATTTTGATCTAATAAAACTGACTGAATCTCGGCAAATTTAATTTTGGGCCAGGATTTTCGAGCATTCAGGTACGTAAGGACGTAAGCAAAATGGCATTTACATTATTATTATTATTATTATTATTATTATTATTATTATTATTATTATTATTATCTGATCTTTGCTTTTTAATATCAATAGCTTTACTAACGTATATACCTTTAGTTAATATATGAATATATATTTATTTAAATTTAAGAGAAATCTACAAAATTGTTTCTAAATGATTAATATTAACGAACTGAGAGTGAGGTGTTTGTCAAATTCATCCTATATTTGAGAAACCGTTTTTTTTTCTTTTTGGTTATTTTTATTTTAAGATATTTTCTATCTATCTTACGAAGCTTCGCGTAAAATCAATCTTTAAAAGTAGATGATAAAAGTGGACAAAAAGAAAAATATTGAAAAAGAATACGACGTCTTAGCGTGGAGCATCGATTTCGAAAGAGAAAAAAGTTGTGGGTGTTCGGGGGAGGTGGGCTGATGGTTGAAGAATAAATGGTATCGTTGAAACTTTCAATCCAAGTTAACAATCCGAATCTATCGAAAGAAGATAGAGAAGAGAAGAGAAGAGAAGAGAAGGGGTGAAGTAGGAGGAAGCAAAAAGCCATTATCGTTGTATTTTACGTATTGGCTGCTGATAAAAGGAGGCTGACAAAAGCTGACTATACTAACCTATCTAAAAAGGCTTAAAAAGTTCTTGAAGAAAAAGAAAAAAAAAATTGGAAAAGTATCGAAGAGAAAAATCTGACCTCAAGCAATCCCTTAGTACCACTCTCCCCCGAATAAGAAAATAAAGGATTTAAGATTTTCGCGAACGAAGTGCCGAAAGTGGATTCAATCGACGTCTCGGTGTACTTTCGGTCGAGGAGGAGGCGCTTTTGGATTTTGAAGCTTTAGAATTTTTCGAAGATTTTTCTTTGCTAGTAGTTGAGGAAGGAGTTGTCGTTACGTTGTTGTTATTAGAATTGCTAGAACCCACTCCTATTGAAGTTTTCACCGATTTCCCGGATTTGTGCGCGACATTCCCGGAACTCGTGGTACCCATAGTAGGCGTACTCAAAGGTATAGGATGATTTTTGTTCTCTGTAGTGGTAGTTGGATATTGGGACTGGGCACGGATTTTGGGGCTTACTTGTACCTCGCAGGGGGGTGGCGCGCTCCTGTAAGATGGCACGATCTTGAACGTCACCGATCCTCGTGCTTCACGCTGAAACAAAATTACGCCAACGTATTATTATTATTATTATTATTATTATTATTATTATTATTATCATATCATGTATTGAAGTTATTCGTTAATTATTATAAATAGACGTATGAGAAATGAATATCATATTACATATTAATGTTTTTCATTAATTATTATAAATAGACGTAAATGAGAAATGATTATCATATTACATATTAATGTTATTCGTTATTATTATTATTATTATTATTATTATTATTATTATTATTATTATTATTAATTGGCATTAGGAACTCGGAAGTTTATTGCTGCAAATACCAAATCCCGCCATTGTTTCCGTCCCTGAGCGCGATTCTTCCATTCGCGGTCTTCGTATCCTATTTCTTTTAAGTCCCTTTTAATATTATCCTCCCATCTACGTCTCGGTCTACCTAGTGGTTTTTTCCCGTTTGGTATACCGACCAATATTTTGTGCGCCGTTCAATGTTATTCGTTAATTATTTTAAATAGACATATGAGAAATGTTTTATATATATATAAAAATAGATGATACTACTTACAAGAATTTTTTGCAAGGCATTAACGGTTTGATTGGCAACGGGTATTCCATTGATTTCTCTAATTTCATCACCGACGTGAAGGGTGGCTTGTCTATGGATCATCCCACCGTGCATAATTCGTGCTACTACACATTTACCATCTTCGTTCATTTTCAAAGTAATTCCCTATAGAAACAGAATAATGTAATAAATGATTATTCTTCCTATATATATATATTGAAAATAAAATGATAAAATGAGAAGGTAAGAGAGAGAGAGAGAGATAGAAAAATAATCTTACCATAGGTTCATCTGTGTTCTTTTGGAATTGCACCAATCTGACGCGTGTTACGTTTTCGAGGTCAAGATCTCCATTCTGACCGTCGAGGTCATCGCCACCATTGAGATACGGAAGTAACGGGGGTGGTGTCACTCTCGTAGCTTCCTCGCCGTAAACCTCGTGGCCAGCCACGTCGTGAGCTTGCAACAATGCCTGTAAATCAAGCATGAAACGAAATCATGAATGGAAAAGTTCCAATCGAATGAACATCTACTATCGAGAAGAGGGTGAGAAGAATATATCGATATTTGTACAATATATTCGCTTATATTGTTCGAGAAAAAAGAAAAAGACAAAAAAAAAATCATGTGCGCACATAACACAATTTAGACGTGTGATAAAAAAGCCAGTTTCGAAAGAATCAGAAGAGTTTATAGTATCAGAAGTAAGATAAATTATTATATAATATTATTATAATTATTTATTTAATAATTATAAAAATGTGCGCCTGTAGATATGCAACCCTTCAGACACACTTTGAAAATGTTGCTTGCGAGCGCCATCTACTGGGACGAAATTTTTTTGCAGCCCAAACTGTTTATACACGCATGTATTACGGATTGCCTATCTTTTGGGCAAAAACAATTCCGTCTCAACAGATGACGCTCGTAAGCAACATTTTTAACATGTGTCTGGTGGGTTGCATTCATACAGGCGTATTATTTTTCATAAATAATAAAATATTAGAAAATAGTCCATAATTTTATTGAAGAACGATCGTTGAATATTGAAAATAAATAAAACGTTATTTTTAATTTCCAACGGAATAAAATCTTACGATTCTAATCCTTCTAATGTGGTATCTAACGTGGGACTAATCGCACACGCGGTTTAGGATAAAGTGTAAACGTAGTTAAACTCAAAGGAATAGAATGCTATTTACTTAAGCGTCCGGCTTATTTCCAAGCTTTCGTCCCATTTAAGTTTCAAATATTAGCGGACACATATCGTAGGACCCCGAAGTTAGCTAAAGGTTTTCCCTTGGATTATAACAGAATTCGCGGTTTAGTCATGTGGTTTTAGTATTTCCACCTCTAATTAGTACGGATTTAGATTATTCAAAAAAAAAAAAAAAAGAAAAAAATGATCAAACGAGTGAATCTCTGACTGACTATTTTAATTGACATAAGCTTCTTTGTAATAATAATAGAGAAAGATAGAAAAAAAAAAGAAAAGTAGAAAGTGTAGAATTAAAAAATCAATTGTTAATTGGATCGTAAGAAATGTTCTCGTCGTAACGTTTGTATCGTTGAAAACTAAAAAAAAAAAAATCTTTTAAGAAGGTATTACAAAATCCAAATGACAGTTTCAGTGAATCATTTTTATTGTTAGCAAAGATGAAAAGTGAACTGAAGAAAGTCGAGAGAGAGAGAGAGAGAGAGAGAGGAAGATTCTTGCAGAAGAAGAAGGAGAAGAAGAAGAGGCCAAGCCCATTTTTATTCTTTTATAACGTTTTAACACTTAAAAGATTTTTCTTATTCTCCCACGTAAAAGAACTTCACGAAACTACAAGTCTAAGAAGTTAAAAGGTATATATTACTACTACTACTACTACTACTACTACTACTACTACTACTATTACTCGTTCAACGGATCCATCTCTTTGGCAAATCTTCAATCGAACATTTTAAGTATAGAAATTGAAAAAAAAAAAAGAAAGAAGACAAAGTCCACGAGAAGAAGTGTAAAGAAAAGAAAGAATGTGACGACATTAACAAAGAAATAGCAAACGAAAGCTTAATAATGTCTCGTCAAAGTAAACTATGTATGTTACACACAAAAGCTCGTTATTATATATTTGCCTATTTCACGTATACCATCACATAATATATTATTGGATACTCAAATAAGACCTCGTTTTTTTTTCTTTATATATCATATCATTTGTATTGTAATATATTCAGGTTGGATGAGAATTAAAAAAGGTTCCTTCAGTAGTACAATTTAAACAGGTATAGAATAAAAAAGAAACTCAACGAGAATAAAGGATATTAGTGTCAGTGATTGGTACTTAAATGTGAACAAGTATTACAATATAATATAATGAAGAAGAAAAAGAAGAAGAAGAAGTATCAAAGATCGTCGTCAATGTATTTTACTTTGTAACCTTTATACAGTTTTTTTTTCTTTTCCCTTAACGAGGAGTGTGCTGTATTCTCATCGAAAATGTTCAAGTGAACTTAGCACGTAGTGGAATAACGCGATACGGCATGTCGGACAAATAAGCGTCTACTGTGAAACGTCGTCGTTGAGATAATTCGTTGGCTAGTCGCCAATTGTCTGAAGGGCTCAGGGTCGTTCGTTCAGTCCCTATTCGAAAGAGTTAGAGAGAGAGAGAAAGAGTGAGAGATGGATAGAGAGATAAAGTGAGCAAACCTTTCTCACAACACAGACGAATATTTATGTGAATTCATGTAAAACGCGTACACTTACTTACATATACTTTATTCACATAT